TCATTGAAGAGGAAATTGCATTGCAGGTCGGAGAAGAACGTCACTGTTGTCGGTGGAGAAGAAAGCATCGGAGAAGAGGGAGGTTTCAATTTGAAAAAGAGAATGCACGCGTCGATGGAGAACAAACTCATGCATAGAAGAAGAAAAGGATGCGTGTGTGTTCTATTGGAGAAGAAAGTAGGAATCAACTAGTGAGGGAATTTGTAATTAACATTTCAGGTGAGCTTTAGTCCCATATCTATCGGGATAGAAATTAGTACCAAACTTGTCCACCCCAAAGCTAGCACTCTTACTTTCGTCATTTTTTTCCTTATTCACTCTCATGGTGTAGGACACTATTAGTCATAGAAATATAACATAATGTCTTTCTTGATATGAGTTTTACATGAAGCAGTTTAATTTTGCCTGTGTATAATGGTTCTTAAACTCGGCTACTCTCATAGCACAAGATTAATTGTGTGCGATTGTGTTCTAAGATTTATAGTAGCTCTTACATGTAATTAACGAGACTTATAAATTAAAACGAAATATAATCACACGCAATATATACGCATGAGCACATTTGGACTCTAATACTCAAAAATGAGGCCCAGTACCCCAGGAGGCCCATTCCATATATGGGTCCATTAAGCAGCCCAGACATTCGGTAAGCCCGCACAGCGTACCGGCCTGCATGGGATAGGCCGCTTGGCTCGATCCTTCGACTTGGGCTTCTCCTTTTGATCCAGCATCGTCCAAGGCAGAGCCCTCAGCTCCAAGCAATTGGCTTGAAAACCTGGAATTGACGGGAAGCGCATTTAATGAATCAGATAATATTTTATTATTGGGGTTTAGCCACTCAGGGTTGGGCACGTCACTCCCATCACCTACTATCTTGTAGTATAAATAGCATCATTTATTTCATTGATCTAGGGGCTCGGGCTCAACATTAGTGTTGTACGCGTACAAATAACTTCAATAGAACTGGATTCACTTTGCCTCTAATCTTATTTGCAATCCTTCTTATTCTATTCTTGCCTAATACATTCATCCAGTGGCGGAACTACTAAGGTGCTTGGAGGGGCCTGTGCCCCTGCGGCTCCGGAAATTCTAAGGTTAGTGTAATCGCGCCCCAAGAGATCCACTGCTCTCTCTGCTATGTATTCGCCGGAAACAAGGTTGGTTGGGGTGCTGAATTGCTGTTGGTGCAACCATAGAAGATAAAACTTCTATTTTGTTTTTTAGATTTAGACCAAAACGATGTTGCTGTATTAAACGATTACATCGATGTTGACTACATCAGATAAATGGTTAAAACCCTAAGCTAAATGACATCGATGTTGACTACATCAGATTTCAAAATTGAAATCAATCCAGAAGGCATAGAGGAGATGAAGCCTATCTGAATTGCAAAGAGGTGCTCTTTCGACCTTATTGAGCAACGAGCAGCAACTGGGCAAGGGAGTAGCTTTGCTTCTTAGCTTTCCATTAAGTTTGATTTTAACTATTTGAGTTTGGGCGTGAGGCTTCTAATTAATATCCAGTTTGTTTGTTTACTTAATTGAGTTGTTTTAATAGAAGCCTATTAATTGAGTTATTTATTTGTAATTGTTTGCTTGTATAGTAGTATTATTGTTTGCCTGATACATACCTTGATGCTTCATAGAATAATTTAATCAATAATAATGACTTAATATGCCTGTATTATTTGTTAAAAAAATTAGAGTATGATTTATATATCTTTATGGTGACTTAGTAGACTTTTATGAGTCATGTATGTCTATATACGGAGTATAAATTTGTAACATGGGATGGTGAGTCTTCTAGAAAAATTACCCAATAAAAAAAGAATGTAATAGTCAAAAACATCCTCAAAAAGTCTTTTAAGTCTTTTAATAAGTCTTTTAAGTTTGGATCTACTATTTAGCCCCCTCGAAAAATAATCCTGGTTCCGCCCCTGCATTCATCTAAACAAACTTATTAAAAGGGACTCCTACGAAAGTCTAAAAGGTTGTATTGGGCCTTTGGACCTCTAAGACTTTACCTCAACAATCCCTTTATGGGAACTACTCACACGTCATGGCAATTTATCTCTCACTACAAAAAAACACGCATGTAGTCAGGGACGCTAGTCACGGATTTGGTCCGTAACTAGTTACACGAAATTTGGAAAAAGTTTACACGAAATTTTTTACACTAAAAACATAGAGATATTTTTAAATTTGGGTTGGGTCGATCTACTTTGAATAGAACAAGATAACACTATGGAAAAAGAAGTGCACATTGAATTAAATCTAACTCTTATTAGAATAATATTAATAAAAGATATAAAAAAATTTTGAGCTGCTACCTACAAATTTTATCCATAAACTAGGCTGGGATAACTATTTCTAAGATGTATGAAATGCCTAAAAGTGTTCTTCCATACCTATCTTATTTATTGAGCATGGAAGAGAGCACAAAACTCATTTTTCTTCATGATATGTTATTTCTAGTAATTATTTTGTGGTCTGACTTTCGTGCCCTTTCCAACGATCGCGTCAGGATCAACTTTTAACATGTGATTAGGTTAAACAGAACATGGGCCCACGTCCCATGGGGACCCATATTTCAAGACACTAGTAGTATTATTTTTCGGGCACTAACATTATTTAATTAATCTATTAATTAATTATTAATTAATAATATAATATTATAGTGTGTATTATCTTATATGAAAATGGATTGTGACTACAATCATACTCCGCTACTCCGTAGAATAATACATGCCCCCAATAAGTTGAAACACTTTACAGAAAAGAAAATTGTAGAGATAAAAATTATTTTAAAGGGAAAATTTAATTTGTTACCTGTGATTATTTATTTGCATTATTTAATGAGTATTCAATTGATTTGAGTATAAGATTTAGATTGATAATATGTTTTAGTTTTTTACATTAAAGTGGTGTCTCAATTTTATATTTTGCACCAAACCTCTAAATTAAATAGACAGTTCTGGATCGTGTTGCACATTTTTATTAATTAAAATGTCTTCATAAAAGTTGTAGGCCATTAAAATATATCTCCACATCTGTTGAGTTCAATGAATTTGGACAACTCACATAAAGTTAGAGAGAATTACCTAAGCATGAGTAAAACATTACAAAAGTGCAAGAATAGGAGTTCAATGTTTCGTAGGAGTTAAAATCCATGAGTTTGACAAAAATACCTTTGATGAAAAACCTAACTCCTCTGACATGATCGGTGTCCATTCCTAACTTGGAAAGACAATCAAATAAAATGTCATCTTTTAATTTTAATGACATTTTTCAACCTGGAATGACATCTCAAAAGATGAACCATATTGCCATCTTGGCATAAGTAATTGCCGAAATTTCATATAGAAAATTTCATTATGGCATTTTCAAATAGGAAATATAGTAATTTTAGACCACAAACGATCACGATGTAAAAAGTTTTAAAAAAATCAGAAGCATCATTGCCATCTTCATATAATTAGTGCCAAAATTTTTACAAGTGACATTTTTAGATGGTAAAGCATGACATTACTGATATAGACAGTACACATACAGAGGAGGAGAAATGTCATCTTATTAAAGAGGTAATGCCATAAAATGGTATTATCTTGGAATCGATGTCCCTATCATTAGTATTTACTTGAAAATTATAAATAGTAGTTATGACATTTATGGAGTAAAAAATAATCGTGAATAAGGTAATAGATATCAAAATAAAATAAAAGTAGATTGAGGAAGCGGTCCAGCCCAACTGGTCGCCGACTCACTCTCCCTTACGGGAGGTCTCGGGTTTGAAACTCAATGGAGTGAGTTTCAGCCCTGATAACTCCACCCCCCTCCCCTCCCCCCCCCCCCCCCTCCCCCCCCCCCCCCAAATGCCCCTTGGAGTTAAAAAAAAGTAGATTGAAAAAGGAAAAATAAGAGAGGCAAATTAACCGATAATAAAAACAATGATGGTTGAAGGAGGAGAAACTAATGAGGCGGATGTAAAACGGAATGTGTGGCGTAACAGCGGAGAAGAAGAAGAAAAAGGAGATGGACACATACCTACGACACTCTGTCATGCCGACATAGTCCCTGTCGCCGGAAAGGGGAAAAAGTTGAGGTTGTGTAGATACAAACAAGATTGACAAGGTAGAACGACACATTGTAAATTGTTGTTTCTATCATTAATTGAATCTCCATCTTCCATCAGTTGTCTGATCAGAAGAGAGAAGTCCAGCAGTCTACGGAAGGGGATGAGACACAAGTTTTGGAGAGGTGGATGAGAGTATCGATGAATAGTTTAGGGATTTGGGTTTTAATGATATTAAGGGTAAATAAGTAATGTGCAGTCCCAATTTAGTCCTATTCAAGGAATAAATCATACTAACTCCTACTTTAGAATATTTTCAATATTTAGTCCTATTTGGAACAATTTCTTATAAAGTTATGGCCAAAATACCTAGAGGCTAGAGCTCTCCATCTTGAACCTTTGAACCAATCATGTAACTTCATGAGATAAATGAGTACTTATCATTTGATATTTTGACATGGCTTGCTTGTTCACATGAAATGTAGATCAATAACATATCTTCCATGTGCCACAGAAAATCTGAAATCATATTATTTGAATTACTCCATAAAGAAATAAGTTTCATTCTTCGAAGTGTAGGCAAGATATTATTTGAAGACAACAAATCGTGTTCTCGACCATTACAACGAGTTTGATCCTTAAATGTAGTAACAAGCTTCTATTCCTGAAAACATATTTATACAACAACAAAATACTCAAAATCCATTTTGTACGTAAAAAATACAATATTTGGCAAAATATTTACTAAATAATAATTAGAGTGATTAAAATGATACCAAAAAGATTTACTATAATATACTACGTACTATATTACCATAACCCCCTGCACAGACTGAAAAAGCATGTAAAACCAAATACACGCACACAGTCACACACCCTACAGCAAAGTAAACACTTCCTACTATTTTTTTTGGATGAAAAACACTTCCTACTGTAAAATTTATTTTTTATTTTCATTTTTAAAGGTAATCTTGTTACAATGGCTCCCAAAACTTTTCACATGTAGCAAGATAGTACTACCAAAGTAAGTAGAAGTGTAGAACTTTATGAGATACACAGGTGAAATATGGTCCTACACAGCACTTTTTGCGAGAACAAATAACTACGTCCCAAAACTATGTTCTAACAACATAGCTTCAAGTTTTAAACTATGAAATTTACATACAAAGAAAATAAACTAATAAAGTAATAAGTGTGAGGGAGGGGAGGGAGGGGCCGGGTAATGTAAAAAACCAACAGGAGCTCCAGATGACATTTTCAAGGCATCTCTCTCACACCAGGTTGTCCAGACCGGTACCAACACTACTTTATGAAAGTTTGAGTGACAAGAAATTATATGCAGCTATATATAGTTGTCATTCACAAATTATGTTGTCAGAAAGGGGACGAGCTTGTTCTTCGCAACTGATACTTCGGCTCCTGAGGTTGGACGTAAGGCAACAGCTTCTCTTTCTCCTGCAAAATAAACCATGATAATCAGGACAATGTAACAGTTTCTAACTTTTTATGACACTAACATCTTTACCAAACGAGCTCTAAAGCAACTGAAGATCAAATGAACAGCATCTTTTTTTATAATATTGTTAAGAATGCTGCACTAAAATGTTAAAGATGGATAAAAGTGTTCAAGTGAACTTGGAATACACGAGCTAGTAGCTAGGCACTAGCCAATTTAAGTTAATCTTTTAGTGTTATTTGTAGCAGTTTTTATCAAGAAATTGCCCTAAATCATCATCATCATCATTACCCCAGTGCCGCAAAGGCTCCCACCTACCGGTGGGGTAAGGGGGAGTCGGATGTAAGCAGTCTTACCCCTGTACTAAAAGCACATAGAGACTGTTTCCGGATGACCCATGGCGAAAATCACGTCGGAAATTGCATGAGCTGGCAGCTGCTTCATTACAAAGAAGCACAGACAGTTTAGTGAGCCATTTTGCTTTATTCCATCATATTCACGGGCCAAAAAATAGTGAATCTTTGGCTCCATTGCAAATGATGGAAGAAGAAATTGCCCTAAATAGCAGGAAAAAATGTTGTGAACTTCGAAATAGGACTACTTTGTTTTTATTCCCTAAATCAGAGGAATTATTGTCATATTTTGACATTCCCAGACTTTAAGCATGGCAGTATTTTCCAAGTTTGGCGGTAATTACTCCTATTTAGCGAATAAAAACAATAGTACTTCTATTTTGGAATTCCAAAAACATATTTACTCCTATTTCAGAACTTTGCCATTTTTTATCACACTAACATTTGTACCACACAGTGAAAAAGAGTTAGGTTGGGTGCACTTTCTGGTTGAAGTTGAGCGTTGTAGCCTTTTTCTGTTTTTCTGTAACTTTTTATGAACATATTTTAAATTTGACTTTTTTATAATTAAGGAGATTCAATCCGCCACAAACTTCAGCAATTACAGCAACATCAACAATTTTAAGCCTTACCAAACGAGCTCTAAAGCAATTGAAGACCAAATGAACAGCAACCCTTTTTAATAAGGTTGTTAAGAATGTCATACAGAAATACTCCGTATTAAAGATAGATTAATTGGTTTCAATGATCATGGAATAGACTAGCTAAGTGATTCAAGTTAATCTTTTAGTATTATTTGGCACTGTTTTGCCTAAATGAGCGAAACAGAGCTATGTTGTGCAGCACTAGGCATCTGTCAGAGGCAGCTCAGAACCTAAAGCCTAATTACGACTTCAATAGGGTTAGGTGGGATCTTGGAATTAAGAGGGGACTTAGTTGGAGACTATTTATAGAATGTTTGAATAGGCAATTAAGTCTGGACATGCATACCATCTAAGCATATCTGAGCTACTTCAAAAAAATTTAGCTGGGTAAGACTGGTTGAAATATGTAATAAGAATTTGTTCATTTATGCTAAATTTTCTGGTTTGGTCTGAACATGTTCAGCATAGTTGTTACGGCGCCGGTTTGGTCTGAACATGTTCAGCATAGTTGTTACGACGCCGCCTAGTCGGCGACTAGGCGTCCTGGGGGTGGAAAGTGTTCACCAAGCATCATCGCCTCACCTGAAGAAGACCAGGCGACTTCGTCGTCCAGGCATAGGTTAGGCAAAAAGGTGATGCCAGAAAAGATTAGAACCGACTAAATCCAAATCCGCAAAAGATTTCTAAACTAAATATAAAGCCTTCGTTGAACTCCAGTCAAAGATGTGCGATGAGTTTCAGAATTAAAATCGCAAAAGAAATCCAGTTGAAACTCAAAAGATGTCCAATGAGTTTAAGAATTCAAGTGGCAGAGTCACATCTAAGTCCAGGAGAATAAGCAAATCATTGATTGAAATTCTGCAGGTCTTGCTGGTTTTCTTTCTATGTTTTCCCATTTCTGCCCCCCCCCCCCCCAGCTTTTCCTCGACTGGAAGTTTCTTGCTCCTTCGCATAATATATTGCAGGTCCTTTTAGTCTAATTATAAGTCCCTATATTGCAGGTCCTTTTGTTGAATTTAATATTTTAGCTTATTTTTTTCAAATTCTGATATACTCTGGGTTTGATTTAGTAAACCCTGTTTTGAATTATTAATTGTTGCTTCCAACACTAGGTAATGTATATTTTTATTTTACTATATAATACTCCGTATATAATAATTTACAAATTAGAGATATCTTTAAATATATTATTTTACATATTTATTTTTTTGGATAAACTGTAAGTATATTAATGGAGCCACCCAAGAAAAAAGAGGTTCAGAATGTACAAGCAAAAAGGGAAACAAAACTGCAGGTTATCCAGGCGATAAGGCGGTCGCCTGGTCGCCTTACATATGGTGCGACTAGTCGCCTAATTGTCACCTAGGCGGGCGCCTAGGCGATAAGGCGGTCTGCTCGCGCCGCACCGGCGTGACAAGTATGATGTTCAGTCTGTCTAAGTTGGTCTGATTTGGTCTGATATGTTTTGTTTTATCTTAGGTGTAGTTTACTACTACATTGTTTAATGTTAATCTCATCTGATGTGATTACATTTCGGTCTGGTATGCTTAAAATTAGTCTAGTTTGGGAATAAATAAGTTAAAGTGAGTGAACAGGTCCTAATATTTTATATAACTCATTCCCAACTTTAACATCAAGTTTCCTCACAATCCAATAGGGAGGTCAACTTCTGTCTTTATGTATGCATGTATGTGGACAAATCATGATTGGAAAGTTGTTCCCCATCAAAATGTACACTAGCAAATATATCTCAACTGAAGGCAATTTCTGAAGGTCAGATGACTTAGCTCTTTTCTAAATAGACGCAAGAAACGGCTTTTGATGTCTAAATTTCAGAAGGATTTGCAGCAAAAGGGGACAAAACTAAATCTTTGAATGAGGCTAACATGGTTTGAAAACTACAAAGAGAACTGAGAAAGGGGAAAGGAAAGACAAACAAACACGTCCAAAGCATGATTGCAGAGCAAATTTCAACCTTAAAAAATACTACAATGTACATTACAGTGCAACATATTTTATGATATTGCCAGGTCACTGACTCACTTCAAGTCCTATAAATTTAACGAATGATCTTATTTGTTTCCATTCAAGTGTGCAGGAAAGTTCCAACTTAGTGCTACATTGAGTTATCAGAAGGCATGCAAAACAACCAGACTGACCAATACACAACAATCTGGCTGAAAATTTCGATTATGAATTTTAAAGTTGCAAAAAAATGTCACTTTGGTTTTTAAAATGGCTTGTTATTTCAATAAATGTTGGGATTCTTGCAAAAAAATGTCACTTTGGTTTTTACAAGAATCCCAACATTAATGTTGGGATTCTTGTACTTGTGTGAAACCGCCAATTCTCCCACCTTCAATGACTCATCAGTAGACAGCAAGTGGACCTTGCCCCATTTCCTTCTTGTTAAATTGGACCTAAATTACCCTCCAAAAGGATACTCAATGAGCAGTCAATAGGTTACATACTAGGCTCAAAGCAGTAAAGAACTGATGTTAGATACTTGACACTCTTCAAGACTTCAAGACTCAATCGAGGACGCAAAGTGACCCTAAACAGCCTAACTTCATTCTACATTGCTTAAGTGGTAAGAATAAAGTTGTGGTCCAGTGTGTTAGTTTCACCAGAAATGACTTTCCCACAGTCCTAGCAACCTCAAATACCAACAGCCAACAACACTTCTACCTTAGATTCAGATTATTCTATATTAAGACATGATGCATTTGAAGTTAGAGAAGTGATCAAAATTAATTGCTTAAACTAGAAGGAACTGTGATTAAAACATGAAAAAAAGGTCTAATAAAAACTTAAAAAAAAGGACTCTGATTAAATTGGGAATAATTTACATGCATAACTTTTTGAAAAAATAAACAGCTCATTGTCAATGAAACAATCAATGCATGTAAAGGCACTTTGATTCATTAATAATAGCAAATAAAAACAAAAAATTCAGATATAAAAAACAAAGTTACTAATACCATGAATTAATGAATGCAGTTGCTGTGCTGAAGCATACCTTTTGCTTTTTGAGTCTGTCATTCTCTTCTTCTAAACGAGAAACCTTGCTCTCTAGCTCTTGTGTGTAAGCCTGTCACATGAATGCGGGTATAAAAAACACTTTATCACAGCAACACAGGAACTTAAGCATGATTCCTATTATCCATTTTTCAAGGATAAAAATACAGAATATAAAATCAAATTCACCTGCTTCCTTGCTCGCGATCGGGCAGCAGATTCCCTATTCTTTATCATCCTTTTCTGCCTCCTTTCCACGCTTTTCTCAACCACAGTTTCCGGGGCAGTTCTCTTTCTTCGAGAGCCTTGTGTGTCAGACATTGCTCCCATAAGAGTAGGAGACATAGTCATCTGCTCAGAATAACTTACATCCATCATTGGATTCGGAACAACGGGCAGGTTCTGCTGACCTGTCATGAAAACGGGCAGCATACTGTGCTGTTGCTGAATAGTATTTGGGATGTGATAATTCGGCCATTGAGCATTGAGTTGTAGAAGTGCCATTGAATCTGCAGCTAGGACCGGTCCTGAGTTTTTCATTCCGGGCGATACTATCCCAGCCTTAACCAAGAAATCCTCAAGTGTCATCTCACCCAGAGTGGCTTTTCTGTCAAGACTACTTCTTTTCTCCCCTTGCTGTATATCATGCCACACCTCATCAACAGTCTTCTTGCTAAGATCCCCCGAAAAGTGATCTTGACAGGAAGCATGCTGGACTTGTCCAAAATCTGTTCCTTGACTGGTCGCCTCAGCAGTGTATACACTCCTGAGAAGCTCGTCGAGATTCATGCTGGTTAGGGGCTTCCCCAAATGCCCTAACTGATTTTGAACCTCGTCTAGAGTGAGGGTGTAGAGTGATCCTTGCCTAGCCAATCCATTGGATTTCGGGTCTTGATTCTGTGTATGGTTTCTTCCGCCCACCCCTTCTCCCCCTCCCCCTCCACCACCTCCCTGAGATCCCATACCTATCTCCACACTCAAATCCCCTCCCTAAACCGAATCTATGTAAAATCAATTAACCAGTCTATCAAAAAACACTTACCACTCCAGCCAATTCAACGAGCAAAGATCAATGCTTTACATCGAACAGAGACAAGACGCTAATTAATCAACAACCTTAGACGTTCGCAACCATCGAGAGAGATCAATTCATTTATTGAGGGAAAGAACAAATTATTGATAATTAATAAGAGAGAGACTGAGCTGCATTTCGCGAAAGAAATAAATAGATGAACCTTTTTCCGCTATAGAATAATGGAGGAAATGGCTGTTGGGATTTGCATGGGTATCAGTCGAGCTTCAGCGTATGTATGCTGAGAAGAGAACAAAAAACCCATAGCCCGTGGATTTTCTTTCTACTCTGTCTAAGCTGAGACGCTGAGCTAACTCGTTCTAACTCCTCTTTTATTTTTACCAACTATACTAGGAGTAAAGCCTAAATGGTACTCCCTCCCTCTCATAATTATCTTCATTCTTTCCTTTTTGATCCGTCCCAAATTTATCTCCTCTTTCCCTTTTTAGCAAAGGATTTGTGGTTCACAACCATTCTTACACATTTCTCTCTCCTCTGCACAACTCTCCCCCACACATTTCCCACTTTGTTAATCTCCGTGCCCAGTCAAAACCGAAGTTAATTCTGGAATGGAGGGAGTAGTATGGTACTCCCACTACTCCGTATATTTACTGAAATTCCCCTTTTCCTTCTTTGGGCTCGGGTCGAGAGTCGCATCTCGGATGAATTTGGGAGGTTTTCTTGATGACATGGCGGTCTGGTCTGGTTTGCACGTTTGGTCTGAATTAGGAGTGGGCAAAAGACCCAGTCTCATTGGTCTATTCCGGAATGTTCCTGTTCCGTTTTGAAGTTATCCCGTTATTTTTGGGACATATTATTTTTGATTTTTTGTCTCGTACCGGTCCCGAACAGTTTCAAAACAAACTGGGACCGGGACAAGTAAAATATATCTTGTTCCGTCCCGTCATCACGAATCCAAAATTGCACTTTGTTGATTAATGAATCTATCTAGGGGTGAGCAAATAACCGATACAACCGATCTAACCGAAAACCGATGACCGAACCGACCGAAAAATTCGGTTTTCGGTCGGTTTTCGGTTGTTAAAAATTTAAACTTTCGGTTTTTCGGTTAATCGGTTATTATTCGGTTATTGTTATCGGTTATCGGTCGGTGACCGATAACCGACCAAAATATATAAAGCTTTACTAAAAATACTATTTGGGGTAGTTCCCGGTAGAATTTTTTAATGAAATTTTATAAGCATGTTCCTTATGAAATATAGATTATCTCCACTAAATTTCACCTTAAAATTCAATCGGGAAGTCAGTTAAATATTTTTTTCCAATTTACAGCGCCAAAATACATAAAAACACAATATTTTTCAAAAATTTATTTAACTAACTTCCGGATGGAATTTCAAATTGAAATTTGGTGGAGATTATATACACTTCAGTAGGAATATGCTTATAAAATTTCATAGAAAAGTTCCACCGGGAACCACCTTAAATAAAAAAAAAATGCTAAATATTTCTACATGTTCGGTTATGGTCGGTTTTTCGGTTACCGACCGAAACCGAACTTCGGTTTTTCGGTCGGTTAGAGTTATACTATCGGTCGGTTATCGGTCGGTCATTCCAATTAAAATTTTTGGTCGGTTATTCGGTTATCGGTCGGTTATTTGACCGACCGACCGACCGAATGCTCACCCCTAAATCTATCAATAACTCATTATGTAATCCAAATAATAATAATTATCCTTTTTAGTAATAAAAAAATACTAATAGTTATCCTTTTACATTTACACCAAATAATAATTATCCTTTATAATAATAATTTTCTTTTTCACAACCCAAATACCAATGATTATTAAAATATTAGTTTTGTAACAACATTACACCTAAGAAAAATTTAAACTGCCTAGTATGAACTATGAACTATCATTTATCTACCAAAAAAAGAAAATAATTTTTACTCCCAAAGACCTCACTTCTTATAGTACTCTTTTATCAAATTTTTACAGACTTCGGGAGTGTTTGCGATTGCTTTTGCTTTTCAAAAGTAATTTTTTTAAGAGATTATTGGAAAAGTGATTTATAGTGTTTGGAAATAGAAGTGATTTTTATTAAAAGGTAAAAGTTGGAGTGTTTGAGAAAGAAGTGATTTTTAATGGAGTATTTTGTTAAAGTTCAAAATCTTTTGTAACAACATTACACCTAAGAAAAATTTAAATTGCCTAGTATGAACTATGAACTATCATTTATCTACCAAAAAAAGAAAATAATTTTTACTCCCAAAGACCTCACTTCTTATAGTACTCTTTTATCAAATTTTTACAGACTTCGGGAGTGTTTGCGATTGCTTTTGCTTTTCAAAAGTAATTTTTTTAAGAGATTATTGGAAAAGTGATTTATAGTGTTTGGAAATAGAAGTGATTTTTATTAAAAGGTAAAAGTTGAAGTGTTTGAGAAAAAGGTGATTTTTAATGGAGTATTTTGTTAAAGTTCAAAAATGCCCATTAAATAAATTAGATTTTACTCGGTTACTCCATAGTGAAATGTCCACCGGTCCCTTAGACCCTATCTACACTTTTCTCAACCCTTAGATCATTCGAGCTATGCTTTTCTCACATATTCTCCAACACGTCGGCAGCTCGTTTGGTCTTCTCAATCGGACAATATTCCTGTGTTTCTGCCCAACTTGTAGCCCTCTTGAGTTTCAAATCAAATAACGGAGATCTGCGTCGAAATCTGTGTACTGTCCACCGGAGGCGACACCGCACCTTCATCACCGATAGCACCGTTGGGGAAGAAGGGCATCTTTATTTGGATGTTGGAGCACCTTCTGGTTCTTTTATGTTAAGTCAGGTATGAAGGATGTGGGGAAGAAGGGCATCTTGGAGATTAACGAATATATTTAGGAATAGGCTTGCCCTTAAAGTTAGTCTTATTTACAAAAAAGCCTAGAAGCAGATAAAAGCACCTCCAACCCAGCTTTTTACTTTTAGCTTAAAATCACTTAAATTAAGCAGAATCTTGCATTTGCAAACACTACTTTTGGCTTCTCCAAAGCCAAAAGTCTAAAAGTGCTTAAATTAAGCAATGGCAAACACTGCCTTCTTATAGTACTCTTTTATCAAATTTTTACAGACTTCTTGATAGTTTTTGTCTAAGAGTTTTTTCTCTACCACTTTTATGTTTTGCCGCAAATCTGGTTAGTTGCATTTTTTCTCACAATTTTCTAGATTAGGTCATTTTGTCATAGAGTTTTTTTGCGCTAGGTTTTTTTCTTTCCCAAATAGATTTAACTTATTTTTGGGATTGCAATTTTTAACTAAAGTTTCTTGGGATGTCCTGAACCATCCCGTTTTGTCTTGGTAGCGATTTAAATGGGACAACAAAAGAACAACTTCTTGTCCCTTCCCGTTCCGAACCGTTATAATAAACCGGGTTCAGTACCGGGACAACCCAATTCCCGTTCCATCCCGAACCGTGCCCACCCCTAGTCTGAATTGATTTGATTTGTTCTGTATAAGTTTGGTCTAGTCTGATTTGATCTGAGCTTATTTGGTCTGGTAAATGTCTGGTCTCTGTGTATTTTATAACTGTTCAAGTTTGATCTGGTCTGTTTAAGTCTGGTCTGGTTTGGTCTGGAAGTGAAAACATCCTAAGAAACCAAAATAGAAAAGGTAATTCCCTACATAGGAATGATAGGAGTAAATACTCTAAATCCAAGTTAAATTACAAAATATGATCATAACAAGTAATTCTTTATTATTCTGCACTTTTATCATACTTTAAATAGAGTTTTCATAATAATCAAACATAAAAAATAAAAGGGACAATGTTTTTTTACTCCACGGGGTCTGGAGGGAGGGGGCTGGGGGCCTGGAGTAATCAGGGCTGAAACGTACTCTATTGAGTTTAAACACTTATGTGCCTAGCGAGTTTCGAACTCCAGACCTCCCACTATGCATGGTAACCTCATAACCAACTGAGCTGGAATGCTTGGTTAAAAGGGACAATGTTTATTACTATGGTATTATGTTTTTTATAATCAAACATAAAAAATAAAAATGTAAAAATAAATAAGAAATGATAAAAGCCTCAGTCATCACCTTAGCTACCTTCGTTGGGAAAATATGTTAACCTGCAAAAAATGATGTTGTTAGCAGTTTGAACAGCAAAATTTGATGGTTCAAAGAGTAAAAACGTCGTTTTCGTGACATTTTTTAGAGTAAGATGAAATTTTTACATAGGATTTATTCATTTATTTATTTATGTTTTTATTTTTTATTTTTATTTTTATCGTAAAACAAGTGGCTTTATATTAAAATCAAGAACGCATACAAGACAATCTTCAGACAGATTTTACGGATCCAATCGTGAACCTTAGGAGTAAACATAGAATCAATCACCTCGTACAAAGTAACCTGACTCGCTAAACCTGAAACGGGTAAATTTAAGCCTAAAACGAACTGATCTGAAACCCTGCCGCTCCAACCCCATATTGATGGGGTGGCGGGAAATCTCAACCCCTACAAAGAGGGGAGGCGGCCACTAGGTTTTTAGAGAGAAGCCATAGCTCTATTTATGTTTTTATTATAAATACAAAATATTTTTATTCTTTTTATGTTTGATTATAAATAAAAATATGATTTTGTTATGAATAAAATAAGTTTTACTTTTACTAGGAAATATAGGAAGATAGAATAGGGAGTGGTAACATAAATACTTCTGTTTTGCAAAAAGTTGTTAGTATAATTTTATTGATTCATTTTGGACTAATTGTATTCCTACTTAGGGCTAATGTTTTCATTTTGGATTATTTTTTGTCCCAAAATAGATCAAATTAGATCAAGTTTAAACAGATTAAATTAGATTTATATTAATCATCCCAAAACAGGCAAGGCTTAGACAATAGTGAAATATACATTTTTTCCCAAATAGACCAAACCATACTTAAATAGACCATCAAACGTGATTGTGAAGATAAAATTCCCTAAATAGAAGTAAAAAAGTTTTGAAATTCCAAAATAGGACTGTCATGTTTTTATACTCTAAATATGAGTAATTTCTGTCAAGTTTGCACTATCGGGCTTTTAGCATGGCAATTTGTTCCAAGTTTATACTGGACAATTTGTAGGATTATGAAATGATGTCTATCCAATTGAAATCATGATTGTTTGTTTAAATGATCCATTTTCTCTTACATCATAGGTTTATTGCTCCAAAGCCTCGGCCCCAGTGATGATGCAAATTCTTTGCATTAGCCACTTGTGCTTCAAGTCTTAAAGAAGTGATCAAATTAAATATCATGTGTTATAGTTAACCATGCACATAACCCCTGTAGCAATAGTATGAAAATCATGTATAGAAGAGTTATGATTAAACATGCAACTAAATTTGGAGAGATCACTAAATTATACTACGTACATATTAATCAATTAGACAGTTAAATTTTCTCTTTCTGAAATTAAACATATGAATAGTTATGACACATGAGTGTTTGACGCAATTGTTAAATCACAAACGATTAATGTGTGTTAGGTCTCCTAGATTTTGATGGTTAATGTAATAGTTTTGATGATGTCACCTTTTTTTATTATTCTTGTATTAGACTAGTCTCTTGTTTATGTTCTACTTTGTTTAAATTGTAATGTGCTCCATATTAGTGATAAAGTACTCATAAAAAGCAAAGAGTATTAAAAGAGAAGTTAAACGTACCATAAAACAAAAAGAAAAGGATAAAAAAGAAAAGGTACAAAAAGAGTTAACTGGTATACATTGTTAGGAATGACCTTGCTGGAAAACACCAAAAATAAGCAAAGGATATGCTTGTTTCTAGATTTCTAGGCTTCTACCTAAACAACCGCTAATGAAAGGTTTATACTATATAAATCCTTTATTCTAATTTACATGGGTATTTCTTTTTTGAGATATTACCCAAAATAGGACTAAAAGAGTTAGAAAATTCCAAAATAAGACTGACATATTTTTATTTCCAAAATAGGACTAATTACTGACATGTTTTGGCAATACCAGACTTCAAACATGACAGTATTTTCGAAACTTGGCAATAATTACTCCTATTTTGGAAATAAAAACATGTCAGTCCTATTTTGGAATTTTCAAACTCTTTTAGTCCTATTTCGGGAACTTTCCCTTCTTTTTTTTGGATGAAAACATGAACTAAGAACTACGAACAATATACATGAAATATGAACTATGAATCACAAGGGGAAATACCTACTTTTATGGAGCAGATTATGGCATACTGCATTGGAAAGAAATTTGTATGGAGCTGGAATATCACTAGAAGCAACAAGAAATCCATTTTGTAGAAAAAAATATGCAATACGGAGTATATTTCTATACATTTAAGGAAAAAGAGATTTAACATAGATTTATGGCAATAAATATTTGGTTTTACAAGAAAACAAAAAACTTCAGTAAGAGCAATAAACAATCAAAAAATTAACCAAAATTGGGATTCATGTGATGCATCCCTAGAGGCTACAAAAAAATCTCTTAGAGCATCTTCAATGCTATAATGTCCACGGTGCACATGTGGCATGAGTGATAGCCACATAATTATTAGCAAATAAATTATTTTTCTCCTTATTTGAATGATTTTATACAATTTTGGTAAGTTTTTCCCTGCAATGTCAACAACAATGTCAACATTAGACGGTCTCCTTGACATTGTGGAGAAAAACTTACCAAAACTGTATAAAATCATTCAAATAAGGAGAGAAATAATTTATTTACTAATATTTATGTGGTCATCTCTCATGCCACGTGTGCACCGTGCACATTGTACCATTGAAGATGCTCTTAGCGCATATCTTCACTGCAGCAATTGTACCTCATAAGAATCCATATTCATACACCTCACTGTTTTCTAATACATTTCAACCGTGTTTGTTTTACATAGAAAACACACACAAGAAAATAAAACATGATTAATGTATTTCAATATTTTTTACATATGCCTCGCGCCCTAGCCTTCTTGTATAAAATACAAACAATGAGTTTGAGAAAATATCTAAATTAACTGAATTGAGTTTAAACTTTATCTATGCCTTATTTTCTACAAAACATCTTTCCTTCCAATTTGCTCATTACTTCCCGCACTTCAAACAAACCCTTCGGGGATCATAATTTAAAGATTTTCTCATCCTTAGACCATTTGTAGTGGTCAAGAGTCCAAATAGTTAAATTTGGACTCCGTCAATTTGAAAACAGTTCTTAGACTCCGTCAATACTGTTTTTCCCTACATCCGTGCACCGTCAATAAAATACACTCTACATATTTTTTACATATGAATTTAGTAAAATATTAATTAAATTATTATAAGTAATGTTTTACTTTTAATTTTTTTCCCTGAATAATTATGAAATAAAAAATACACATTTTGATGTAAAAATAAATAATTTTCATTATTTTTTTAAACATTTTTCTGTTAAAAAAATGAATTTGTTTAAGTGAAGTTTGATTATAGAATATTCAATTATTTGTGAAGGTTTCATGAATTAAGAATTCTTGTTTCATTTTTTTAGCTCAATAAACTGTAACAGTTAAAGTTTCAAAATAAAATCATTTATATATCACATATGGATGTCATATGAAAGATCATAAAAATTTATGAATTTTGATATATTTTTTGAAAAAATTAAATGACAAATAAAAAAGTTATATAGGTTTAGAAAAAATTGGGATATAATGATGCAAGGGTGACGCCAGCATGACATCATCCTCACCAAAAGAAAACATGTGGCCGTGCCTTTTTTCTTTATTTTTTTTTTTTTTTTCACTCCTCTAAACTCACCCTCTATATTTAACACCTTCCATCCTCTTTCCCACTTTTAGCATCTCCAATAAGAAAATGGATTGATAAAAAATGCATTGCCATGTCAACAAAATAGATGGTGGGATTAAAATATGCCCTCCAATGGAACTGTCTATATTTTTGGTGGTGGTGAGTTGGAATAGAAAACCGTCCACACCGTGCTTTCCGCTTTCTACTTTCAGCAACCATGTTAGACAGCCAACTCAGCGGCAAAATATTTTATTTGGCCGCAGTTCGTGAAAAAAATCTCCAAAAAAACTCAAATTATTTGGAACAAGAAAACCCACCCATAACATATTTCAGTCGTATCTTTCATTCTTTCGAAGCTGGTAGAACCTCCAAGCCTCCTGGCATCTTCGAAGTGGTAGTCATTATATTTTTAATCTCTTTCTGTGGAAAAACTAGAATTGAAGGCTATGTATTATTATTGACATAATAAGGAGTATTTATACAATGATAATGGGCTGCAACGGTAGTGCTATTCTAGGCAATAAATCAAGGAATAAAAGTAATCTATACAAGGTAGTATCTAATTATGGAGACTAATGCCATAATAGAATTTAGCCGTTACACTCCCCCTCAAGCTCAAGGTCGAGTCATGAGCTTGGAAGTTAAAGACCGAAAAGAAGCAGGTGGTAAGCTTTTGGTGAAGACGTCGGCTAATTGCTGATCAGATGGGACAAAAGAAGTGCAAATTGTGCCATTTTGAACACGTTCACGAACAAAGTGACAGTCTATTTCGACGTGCTTCGTACGCTCATGAAAAACCGGATTGTTGGCAATATGCAAAGATGCTTGATTATCACAATGTAACTGAGCGGGATGAAGCGGAATGTGTAACTCGCGAAGTAATAATTGGAGCCATGTTATCTCGCTAGCGGCAGATGCCATAGCACGATACTCCGCTTCGGCTGAGGAACGAGAAACAGTCGGTTGCTTTTTTGTGCGCCAAGAAATGGGGCTTGGGCCAAGGAAAGTGCAATAGCCTGTGGTGGAGCGGCGAGTGGTCGGACAAGAGGCCCAATCGGCGTCACAATAAGCATGCAAACGTAAAGAGGTGTCAGAGGAGAGTAAGATTCCAAGATCAGGAGCCGCTTTGAGGTAGCGAACCACACGAAGAGCGGCATTCCAATGGCAATCCTGCGGAGAAGACATAAATTGAGTTAAGAGGTTAACGGAAAAAGTAATATCCGGTCGTGTGACCGTAAGATATAACAGACGCCCAACGAGGCGTCGGTATGGCGCGGGGTCAGACAAAGGTGACCCAGTAGAGGAAGCAAGGTGAGTATCGGGATCCATTGGTGATGGTGCAGGTTTGCACCCAAGAAGGCCAGTATCCGAAAGAATTTCGAGTGTATATTTCCTTTGATTGAGAAAAATGCCATTTTTGGAGCGGGCAACTTCAATACCCAAGAAATACTTCAAGGGACCAAGATCTTTGATCTGAAAATGCTGGGAAAGATAACACTTAAGTAAAGGAATAATAAAAGGATCAGCACCAGTTATAATAATATCATCAACATAAACAAGTAAAATAGTGAGGTAAGAACCACGAAGATAAGTAAACATAGAATAATCAGCTTTAGATTGACGAAAACCGGCACGCAAGAGGACATGAGAAAAAGTGGAAAACCAAGAACGAGAGGCTTGCTTAAGACCGTACAAAGATTTGCGCAAGTGACATACACGAGTCTCCCCCTTTCGACCATACCCCGGGGGAAGGGTCATATAGACATCTTCATGTAAGTCACCATGAAGAAACGCATTGGAGACGTCAAGTTGATGAGTGGGCCAATGTTTAGCGGCAGCTAGACTAAGGACGGTACGGACAGTAGTGAGTTTGGTAACTGGGGCGAAAACTTCTGTGTAGTCGAGCCCTTCAAGTTGAGAGTAGCCTTTGGCCACGAGGCGGGCTTTATAACGATCAACAGTACCATCAGGGAGATATTTAATTTTGTAAACCCAACGACAACCTATGGCTTTTTTATGGGGAGGGAGGAGAGTGAGATCCCAAGTGTGATTGGCTTCAAGAGCTTGAAGTTCAGACTCCATAGCTTGACGCCATAGAGGATCCTTCTGGGCAGCGGAATAAGAAGTGGGTTCCACAAGTTTGGTGATATTATTAATAAATAGGAGGTGTCGGGGTGTGTAGTTGGGGGTGTGGAGGGAGGAGTGAATAGGATATGGAACCGGACGGGTGTGAATGGTAGAGAGATTGCAAGCATAGTCCTTAAGATAAGTCGGAGGTTTAGAGATGCGGTTAGAGCGGCGGGGTGGCTGCTGAGAGGACGGGTTGGGACTCACGGTGTGTGGGAGGGAGCTAGATGGGTCTGGAGTAGCCCGGTTAAGGATAGGTGAATGAGGGTCAAGGACGGGGTGGGAGGTAGTTGCTGGGATAGAGGGTGATGGATGGTCAACACCTTCATGGTTAACAGGATGGGGCACAATATCCTCAAACGAGGATGGTCGCTGGGAGTGGCTGGAAGGTGAGGTGGTGTGCGGGTGTGTAGGTGAAGAAGGAAGATCAGGAATGGGAAGGGGCAGAACATGAGAGGGTTCGGTGGAATCTTCAGAAGTCGCATGGAAAGGAAAAATGTGTTCATGAAAAACGACATCGCGACTAACAAAAACTTTTTCAGTGTCAAGATCATAGAGGCGGTAGCCTTTTTGACCGTGCGGGTATCCAATAAAAATGCAACGCCTAGCGCGAGGGGAAAATTTATCGGGGTGGTAATGGATGGTGGAAGCATAACAAAGACAACCAAAGGACCGGAGATGACTAAAAAAAGGTGGTTGGTGGAAAAGAATTTCATATGGAGTTTTGTGTCGAAGGATGGGAGTGGGGGTGCGATTGATAAGGTAAGTGGCGGTAAGGAGACAATCACCCCAAAATTTGAGAGGGAGGCCAGCTTGAAAGCGCAACGCACGAGCCACATTAAGGAGATGGCGGTGTTTGCGCTCAACAACCCCATTTTGTTGGGGGGTGCCGGGACAACTGGTTTGGATAATAATTCCATTTTGGAGAAGCAGATTTTGAAAGGATGATTGAGTAAATTCCAAGCCATTGTCGGAGCGGAAAGTTTTAACACAAGTATGGAATTGAGTTTTAACATAATTAAGAAAATGCACAAGTAATAAATAAGCATCAGATTTAAAATGCATTAAATAAGTCCACGTCATTCTAGAGTAATCATCAACAATAGTAAGGAAATAAGACTGATTAACACGAGTTGGGGTAGAATATTTTCCCCAAATGTCAACATGAATTAAGTCAAAACATGCACTAGTAGTAGGATGATGCAATGGAAAATGTAAACGAGTTTGTTTAGAGAAATGACAAGTGTGACATATATTATTAAAAGAAGAACATCCCAATAAAGGAGCTAAATGATTAAAAACAGTAGCAGAAGGGTGTCCAAGGCGAGAATGCCATGTGCCAGAAGAAACACTTAAAAGAGCATTTAAAGATTCAGAATGGGAAAAAACATATAAGCCACCGCGTTCATGGCCCCGACCAATCTCCTTCTTCGTCAAAAGGTCCTGAAAAATACAATAATTAGGGAAAAAAATAACAATGCAATTGGAGTATTCAGCCAATTTTCGAACAGATAACAAATTAAACTTGAAGGTAGGCACATATAAGACATTGTCCAAAAAAAGATGAGAAGATAGTTGAATGGTACCAACTCCATGGACAGGAATAGCCGTGCCATTAGGGACAGAAATATTTAAATCAGAAGACGGGGAAACGGGAAATGTTGAGAATAAATTAGAATTAAAACAAACATGGTCCGTGGCACCTGTATCAATAATCCATTCATGAGAATTAAAAATGGAAGAAGATAAAGCAAGAGGCATACCAATCATATTAGCTTTAGGTTCCTTAGAATCTTGAAGCAAACGAAGGAGTTTTTGAATAGGATCATTACCACCATTAGGAGCGGGAGTAGGAGTGGAGCTGTGAGTATTACCTTTGCGGTAGAATTTGTGACCAGGAGGGTAACCATGGAGGCGATAACAAACCTGCTGTGTGTGACCAAGAAGACCACAATGAGAACATTTGGATTTGGAGTAGCTTCGGGTGGACTGCTTGTTGGCGGCTGGATTCTGAGCTATAAATGCAGAAGGTGACGGAAGTAAACCAGGTAGAGAGGTTCCAGAAGAGGGCGGGTGTCGGGCAGAATCTGGCAGCAAAGGTGAAGGAGCAGATGCAGCCAACTGGAAGGCAGTGTGTTCCAAGGAAGTAGATGGAGCGTGAAGTCGTTGGGCTTCATCTTGGAGGAGAAGAGAATATGCACGCTTCACGGAAGGGAGTGTGGTATTGAGAAGGAGTTGACTACGGGACTGAGCATATGTATCCCGAAGACCCATCAAGAACTGCATCAAACGACGGCGTTCGATTTGAGAAAAATATGCTGCCCGGGCAGTACAAGTGCATTGCGGTGGAGGGTCCAGGAGATTAAGTTCTTCCCATAATCCTGAGAGTTTGTTATGATAGGCAGGAATTGAATCATCTTGCTGGCGGAGAGTGGCAATTGAGCGTTCAATCTCATAAATGCGAGGCCCATTGGCGGTGGAGTAGCGGTCCTTGAAGTCGGACCAAACAGTGGCGGCATCTGGAGCATATAAAACCGTGGGAGAAAGAGATGAATGGACTGAATGTAGAAGCCACGACATAACCATGTTATTTATGCGTTGCCATCGAGCGTGGTCCCGATGACCCTCGGGAGGAGGCGGTAAGGTCCCGTCAACGAAACAGAATTTGTTGCGACCTTTAAGCGCCATTGTCATGGCAAGGGACCAAGAAGAATAATTCTCGAGGCCCATAAGAGGCTGGCCGACGAGAGAGACGCCGGGATTGTCGGAAGAGAGCAAGTGATAAGGGCTTTCAAGGTCATAAGGAGAAGACTTTTCATGGCCAAAAGAATGAAGTGAGCTGGTGGGATTAATGTCATCATCATCATGGGTGGAGGAAGCATCATCGTTGGCCATGGAGGTGCTGAAATTTTTGTAAAAACTTACAGCATGTTAAGGAGAAGTGGGAAAAGAGGAAAAAAATCTCTCTGATACCATGTGGAAAAACTAGAATTGAAGGCTATGTATTATTATTGACATAATAAGGAGTATTTATACAATGATAATGGGCTGCAACGGTAGTGCTATTCTAGGCAATAAATCAAGGAATAAAAGTAATCTATACAAGGTAGTATCTAATTATGGAGACTAATGCCATAATAGAATTTAGCCGTTACACTTTCTATTTTTTTTTGACGCATCTCTTTCTATTTTATTTAATTATGAATTACTACAAAGTTTTTTTTTATTTGAGAGAATTACTGTAAAGTTGTTGATGCTCAAGTGCATGGTATAAATGATACGAATTGATCTCCTTTTAGATAATGCTTTTGAAGAGGGATGGTAGAAGGAAATAAAGAGTTACTGAGTATGATTTTAGCTAGGGCGGTTGTAGGCTTGTAGCCATAAACATAATTTCTTAAGCACCGTTGGAGAGAAAATTTTAATTTACCCGTCTGTGAGTCCATCTCAGCTTCACGGCCTCTCTACATAGTTGATGTGTCCATTTTTTATGGGATGCAATCCACATTCCCATTAAAGATGCTCTAATACCCCATATAAACCACCACTACACCGTCTACACACAATTAGGATCCAAAAGTTCCACATTTAACATTTTGGACTCCTAATACCTCACCACTACAAATGGTCTTAGGCTGGGATTTGCTGAACTGAGACTACATCCATCTTACACGAGATTAAACTGCATATAAATTATTTTATTTGTAGTCTCGTGATTTTCTTACCCGATAGTATATTTTTCAAAATTATAATCACGAGACTACAAATAAAATAATTTTGATTTGATTTGTGATTTGAAAAATATGAATTCAGATCAATAAAAATAAAAATATTACTCCTTATAATATTTAATTCGAACATTATTTGAATTATACTATGTATATTTGCATGAATATGTTCATACAATATAGAGGGTATAATACTTTGGTTAAATAACCATAATAAAATGCGAGAATATTAATAAAAAATATTGTACCCTGTAAATTCTCGCATTTTATTAATATTCTCGCATTTTATTAATACAAGAAACGCAAAACTGTACATTGGATTAATATTTTTATTAATCCCACCCAAGAAACCATTACAAAAGAAAGTATTAGATCTCAACCATAACCTGTTTTATAATTCAACCCTCACATATTGTATTCTTCACAAACCTTATTATTGATGAATGTGCCTGAGTTAATGTGTGTGATTGTGTGATACAAAGTAGCATGTGTATGGATTATTACAGCAAGCAAGTCAAGCCTAGCTAAGTTCTAAATCCTAATACAGAAACTACACTCTGATTTACTCCATTTATCACCAAAACAAAGGAAAAAATCATTTACACTGCCTCTTGGTGAAATACCGAGGGGAAAGCAGTTTAGTGAGCAGAGTTTTCAATCTCCTAGCACCAGTCCCATGCTGCAGAACCCCGTACATCTCACTCTGCAATGCCGAACACTTCTTCTGGTCCTTATTGTAACACCACCCACCCAATGAGAAATGCCCATCCCCCCTCCTCTTGAGGAGTTCACGGTCTATCTTGTCAAGGACTGCTGGATCGTTCCTCTTGAACTTCCTCGCAAATGGCCGGTTGCTTAGGACCATTCTTCTGTAGTCTTTCAGGCCAAGAGACTTGGGGTGTTGTTTGGGAGGGACATCCCAGGTGATGTAATGGAGGTCATGATCAACCGTTGTGTTCTTGTACCCCTCATCGGAATTGCACACGAGTGTCTGGAAGTAACCCTCCGGAGAGGAGACAAAGTTGGTGTAGTAGAGGAGAAGCCTTCTCGGCAGGTTGTCCCAGCCTACTACACAGTACTCTGCAAAGGATCTTGACAATACCATCCAAGCTGAACCTGCAAAGGATTTACCCAAAGGGAGTTTCAATCTGCAAGTGACTAGAACAGAGAAATTGGAACCTCTAGGGTCTGTTTGGAACTCAGAAAATGCTAGGAAAAGAACATAGGGAGGGAAAACAATAGAGCCAAATTGGAAAGAAAGCACATGCGGAAGGTAAAAAGGATAAGGTAAAAGTGTAAAACTCAATAAATTTAGTTTGACATTTGGTGATGCTCATACAACATTTATGTAAGGCCTAGAAAGTAAGTATATGGGAAAAAAAATACAGTATCACATTTCATTTTACTTTTCTTTTCCATAGGAAAACCATACAAGAAACGCAAAACTTTCTTTTGCATTTTTTCTTTCCCTGGCAGAAAGACACAAACCAGTTCTGGTTATTCTTTTTTCTTGGGTGGGAGGGGGTACATCAGAAAGGATTTCTCCTCATTCTTAAAATTAGATTCAGATGGTACTTCAGGACACTACATGATTATGAACATATCTTGGAATATAAAGGTGGGCTGGATAAAACTTTAAGGTTGGATTTATAATGCAGGATGAATTGAAAACAAGACAATTCATCATTTATTTATTTAAGTAAATCAACCTAATGCATTCATAGGTAATATTTTCATAAAGCGGATAACTACTACATCCAGTTTTCTTATTAGTTTTCACGGATAGAGATGGTTGACCAATTCGTATAATGATATTGGATCATATATTCCATATAGTAATCAAATGTAAACGAAACAATGTTTTGATGGATGTAGAAAGTTTATTAAAAAAGCACTTCTCAGCAGCTTTTGGCTTTTAAAAAGCACTTATTTTCCCAAACACTACAACTTTTATTTTTCTCGGCTTCCGCGTCAAAAGTGCTTTTACTATTACACAAAAAGCACTTATTTTACCAAACACTACCCACTTTTACTTTTCAAAATCACTTTTTTCTCAAAAACTATCAACTTTTATTTAATCACTTCTCTCCATTTCATTTAAAAAAGTACTTTTTTAAAAGCAGAAGCTGTTGCAAACTGACGCTAAAGGTGGTCAACTGGATAAATAAAAAACGACTGGAGCACACATAATCCATACTCCGTATAATGTAAGGATTGGGTGTGATCCACTATTATCAATAGTTTAATGTATGGATTAGGTTAGGACGTTAGGTAGATTTACTTTTGGATGGACTTTTTCACACGCCTACTTACTAGATAAAGGAAAATATATTTAGGTGAGCTTTCAAATAGGATATAAATGTAAGATTTTGAACTTCAAAAACTATCATGAAAGTATCTCGATATTTCCAAAATTTTCATTGAAATTTGAAAAAACTCCTTGAAATTTCTGTATTTTGAGGTCCAGTTATTGATACTGGGAATGACAAATTGTATCTAAAGTCTCTTGAAAAAATCACAAAGTGTTTGCTAAAAATGTTTTTAATCTCATTATCTTTTCTAGAAAAGGCTAGCAGAATATAGTTTTTCTTAAGAGACATCACGATATCGTTTTTGACGTTTTAAAATTGGAATATCCGCGGATTTTCCCATAAAAAGAGTGCCTATATTTCCAAAAACTACTACGTAATCGTATCTCCGTCTCTTAAAATTTTGACATCTTTTCAAAGTTAATGTTGATAAAGTTTAAACCATGATTTTGATTAGTATAATATTTGAAAATTTATAAATTTTATACTTTTATGAAAGCACTGTTAACAATAAATATTTTTATATCATTTTTATATTATAATAACTCCTTACCCAAGTGTGAAAACAATAGGTAGGTAGGATAGGAAAAAGAACCTGTATAGAGCTTGAAAGCTGTCGGGAGAGTTCTCTGCTTGATTGCCCACCAGATTTCTGATTTATTATTACTATGCAAACTTGGGTCTAATATAATCGGTTTGCCCCTCCTATTACTGATATAATAAATAATAAGATAATTAAGCAATACAAAACATGGTTAGGAAGCCAATACATTAACCTTGAAATCAATCAATTCAACAAGCCAAAATATGTGTGAAATCTTACAATTTCCAACCAAGGCGACTGGTATGCTGTATGAAGTTCAGATCTCTGGGCAAACTTGAGAAGGAATGGATCAGATCTGGGGAAATTACAAAGAGAAAATGAAATTGAGTAAAGTGTAAATTATCATTGGAGTGGATTTTCGGAAGGTGAGGCACTCACCATACCATCTTGGGTTACGAGTGGATAATCAGAGGCGCTGAGATTGATAAACCAGTCCCAATTTGCAGTCCTCAGAAGAAGAGAAATGGCGTGGAGAGTAGCGGCAAGCATTGTCGGGCCTCTGTAGGTCACCAAGCTGGGCTTCCCTACCACCCACACATTCCCGATTTGGCCGAACACGGCGTTCCCGGCGACAAACCTCGCCAGCTCTAGATGCTCCGACCGGGGCGCATCCGCATCCAGGTGGATCAGGTAGTAGTTCCCGGGGTGGTAGAGGGCGTACAGTAGGCGGCGCAGCCTCGGGACGTCACCTCTGGAAGCGGAGATCAAGTAGGCGAAAGAGACGGGATACTGCCGCCGCTGCTGCTGGTCACCAGAACTAGGACGGAGGAAGAAGGAGGTGGTTGGGCGGAGAATGGCGATGCTGGGGTGGGAGAGTTGGGTGAGGATGAAGAGGAGGAACAGGAGAAGAGAAGCAGTGATGAGGCAGATCTTGAAGAGTCTCGCGCCGGCCATTGTTGCCAGTGAGGTGAGCATTGGCTTAGGAAGAAGTAGGCGGCTTGTGGAGTTGAAATGGGCGGTTACGGTGGTTGGGGGCGGAAGGCGAAAGAGTAGTGGGGGCTGGTAGCAGTGACAGTACTGAAATTAGATGAATGAATGAATAAAAATGAACGAGAGATTCTAGCGAGCGGGTAAATTCCTTTCGTGGTATGGAAGACTTCACCCATTTGTAACTTCCCATTTCAATGGTTGTTGTAAGTTTTATTTTCATTTTATTTTACTTGTCGGTTGGGACTTGGGGTAGATATAAAAACTATTTAAGGAAATAAAATACGGAGTAATACTTCTGTCCCTCGTTTCATACTTCTTCCGTTTCATAATTCTTGCAACATTTTGATTTTTACACTATTCACAGATCTTACTTTGACCATGATTTTCTACTAAAATACATAATCAAATTATTACGTATAAAATGTTATTGAACTCTTATCAATGTGAATTTCCAAAATATCAACTTTTTATAATGTTTACTAATACATAATTAAATATAATTACAGTCAAAGTAGTACATAAAGATTCTTATTTCTGTTTTAATACTCCGTAAACAATTAACACTCTGAAAGTATACTTAATAATCAAATACATTTGACTTTGCATCCTATTTCATTTAACAATCTTTTAACATTGCACCCCATTCAGAAAATTTCCTTTCACAAAATGTTGTATAATAGGGTATAGAGTCAAAGTTTTTTTTAAATGAAAATGTAAAATTCAAAACACAAGTAACGCTGAACCCGTTATTCAAAACATGAGGTGCAAAATCAAATTCACCCTACATTTTTTGTAATATTAAACCGAGTAACGCTGAACCCGTTGTTAATACACAAGCTAGGCATTTTAAAAAAACAAAACAAATACACAAGCAGGGGCGGAGCCAGGGGGTCAGGGTGGTCAAACGACCCCGCTGAAAGTTCAAGAATGTAGAGATCTGAAATAACTTCGATTTGATATATTATGGGTCTCGTAACTCATTACGAGTAAAAATTTATGACTTCTGGAAAAAACAACACCATCTTAACTTGAAATAAGCAAAATTTGATGTGTGAGGTTGATTATATTCTTAAATTTAAAAATAAAACACCTTATTAAGTTATTAATAATTGTGTGAACATTATGATACATTACATATATATACACACACGCACACACACATATATATATACATATTATATATATATATATATATATATATATATATAGGAAATCTTTCCGGTAAGGTATACCTTACCGGAGCCTCTGTGCGGCCTCCACGTTTTGAGGGCTTCCCGGTGGAATTTTTCGATGAAATTTTTTGAGCATGTTCTTCATCAAGTGTAGTACATGTACATCCATTCCAAATTTCAGCAAAAACTTCAATCCGGAAGGTAGTCAAACTATTTTTGGAAGATAACTGCACCCTTTATATACATATAAAACGCAGTTATCTTCCAAAAATCATTTGACTGCCTTCCCGATTGAATTTTTTGCTGAAATTTTGTATGGATGTACTAGACTTGATGAAGAACATGCTCAAAAAATTTCATCGAAAATTTCCACCGGGAAGGCCTTCAAAACGTGGAGGCCGCACAGCGGCTCCGGTAAGGTATATCTTACCGGAAGTTTTTCCTATATATAGGGGTGGGTTCAAGTAAAAAAGTAGTTTTCCCATGAAAAGTGAGAATAAATCTTGGTCTTTGATCACTTGAAAATGGATAGATTAGATGAACTTTAAACATAAAAGACGGTTTCAAAAAATGTGCAAATGTTTGTACTATAAAGTGGATAGCTACTAACTAAAAGTGCACTCACGCGTGTCAAAAAGATTGTCAAAAATTTCAAACTTGTGCACTTTTTATTTGATATCGTATTGCACTTTTGTGTTCTACGTGTGCACTTTTTTACTATTCTGATACACATTTGTCACAATATTTTCAAAAAATGTTCTCCATAATTACACAAATGCCACCGCGTTTCCCATTTAAAAATTGATCTCACTATCATTTATCTCAACTACGTATGAAACATTTAACTCAAGTATTGTATAATAACTATCTATCATTTTGATGATGTATATAATTAAATTTTGACCCCCCTTACATAATTTTCTGGCTCAGCCCCTGTACACAAGCCTAGGCCTATACGACTATACCTCAAAGGCTCACACTCTCCATTTAGGAGGCCGTTTGGCAACACTATTTTTTGGCTTATTAGACTTTTCAGCCAATTTTTTCAGCAAACACTTAACTTTTGCTTTCGCGTGTTGAATTGTGTAATAAGCAGAAAAAGTAAGGTTGGAATTACTTTTCTGGCTGTATTGACTGAAGTTACTGTAGATGACCATTTTAGCTATTTTTATATATAACTTTTTCTTTATTTTATTAATAAAATATATTTTAAAAATAATTTTTCTTAAATCAGCAAAATCAGCCAATGCACTCACTTCAGTCAGAACTTCATAAATTTCAGCGGAATCAACCAAATCAGCCTATTTTCGTGCTAGCCAGCTTTGGATTTTTTTTTCCTTTTGAAAGCACGGGCTCTGGATTTATACCCCAAATTTCTACAATAATGATCTGCACTGCATTATACGGAGTATTCTACAATTCATCATTCTTCCATATCCATCTATCAGGTATTTCCTTTTCTACTCTCCACCCTCAGTCTTAGCTGCTTCAGCTTCCAACCTTAACAAGAATTCTCGAACAGTAATTAGGTATTATTTCATTTGGTAGATGTTATTATCATTAATACCTTTTTAGATGGCTGGAATTTCAGAATCTGAAACGCTACTCTACAGATCTTCTGTTAGACCAATATTTCAAAAGATGTGTACAAAGCACCATTCAGCAGATCTTAGTTTCACGTATTAGATGAGATTTGCTTGGTTAAATTTATTTCAACTTTACGACAGACTTATTTGGCTGTATATTTTTTGTTTTTTAATACTAATTTTTCAGATTTTAGAAGTATTATCAGTATCTATTACATCAAAATGTCCATTTCAATTTCAGATGCTTATTATGTAGTATATACTGGGTAAGACTTTTGCATTCCTTCCAGGTTTATTTATTTCTGAGGTTAGAGGATGTTTAATGCGGCAATTGGATTTCTGGTGTGGAAAATAGTGAACATTTTTTTGTCAATATACTCCGTAATATATATAGATTGAGAAAAGCTTGATTTTTTATTGAGAAACAACCAGAGAATAATTATTAATATTGCTATAGTTAGTCTTTTACAGTACTTTGCACATTTTACTGAAAACTTATAGATACGATTAGTTAAATAAAATAATAAATATATTTGATGGATACTTTAACAAAAAACATGAAACCCTTGAGGCAAGGCCCATCTGTCTTTGTCACAAGAGAAGCTGCTTTTCATCACTGTTGTTTTTTCTTCATTTGGCGTGGAATTCGGCAAAGCAAACGGCTTTATTATATATAGAAGATAGATAAAATAATAAATGCAACTCTCCAAATGGTCTATCAGTATGTTCAGGGCTAACACCAAGCATCTCCTACTTCACTAGTGGAAATAATTTAAGTTGATGCACAGAGTATTAGTGGTTCCATTGTAAACTATCTATGGTTATTCATGTGTATATATGGCTACATATTTTTGTATTTTGATAACTCTTTTCAAAATTTTGCTAGGTTTGCTAAGTGAGGGATAAATGGGTAAGATGCTTGTATCAAGAAACTTCAAAATTTTCTCTTTTCCCCCTCATTCACTTTTGAAGTTGTGTGATACTGTTGGTTGTTGGCACGCCCCTTGTCGTACATAATGCTACATTCTGAAAATAGAAAAACAAATTCTTTTCTTGCCGTTTTATTTACTTGTCCTATGAAGTATGAATACTGTAGGTGTGTTGCTTCCTTGTACCCAACCCACTTCACTTACCCGCATTCAGTTCAGTTTGCTAAGAATGCGGTTCTACCTCACCTCTAAAGCACTCATTTAAGCTTTAGAAACTTTATGAACTTAAACAAACACAAAATATGAAAAACAATATCGGGAAAAGTTGTGTTATTTAATGTTTAAAAGGTTGAGAATGAAGGTAAAAGAACATTACTCAAAATGAGAACCTTTGTAGATTTGTAGAGTCAATTTTTTCCTTAATTCTCTTTCCATGAAAAAATTCACTTTTTTTGTCTATGGAGTGCATATTGGAATTTTTACGTGCATCCTAATTTTCTTTTTCTTTTAGTGAGCACACTGTTGTGCAATATGACATGGTCAAGGCACTAAATGCGTGGGGAGATGACATCACCTCGCTCGTCTGGTTATGTAGATCCTGGTTGGGAACATGGTGTAGCCCAAGACGAGAAGAAAAAGAAAGTCAGATGTAATTATTGTGCGAAAGTAGTCAGTGGTGGGATATACAGATTAAAACAGCATTTAGCCCGCCTCTCGGGTGAAGTGACTTATTGTGACAAGGCTCCTGAAGAAGTTCGTTTCAAAATGAGAGAAAATCTAGAAGGATGTCGTTTCAGTAAAAAGCCTAGACGTGTTGAATATGATGAACAGACATATATGAATTTCCACGGCAGTGATTATGCAGAAGAGGAGGATCAGATAGGGTACAAGAATAAAGGAAAACAATTGGCTAGCTATAATGACAAGGGTTTGGTTATAAATTTAACCCCCCTGAGATCACTAGGCTACATTGATCCGGGATGGGAACATGGTGTTCCCCAGGATGAGAGAAAAAAGAAAGTAAAATGCAACTATTGTGAAAAAATAGTGAGTGGGGGTATAAACCGTTTTAAGCAACATATAGCAAGAATACCAGGG